TGCAACACTAAAATTTCTTATCAATACCGTTGTCATTCGATTTAAATATTGTATCCTTGATATTTACTACACATATGATTAATCTTTTGCGATTTAAATTTAAATTATATTTTGAATAATGTAATACAATAAAATATGCAACAGAAAAGTGTTTCCTATAAATTCTGTAACAAAGAACAGTTACAAAAATTTCTATTCCTCTTGAATCAAGATTCAATCACTGAATGAGATTGCATGTAATCGCGATATCTTTATCCCTTCTCTATCTATACTGCCGCCATGATATTCATGCAACGATTGGATAACGAAACTGCATTCGAGCTCGAACATTGAGTTCCTCAGTATTTCCAACGTATTTGGAAAAATATTGTAACGTAATCATGGCGAGGAGCAGCCTGATACCTAGGAGTATTAAGCTGCTCCTTGCCCTGATAAAGTGGACTGCAAGATTTACGAAACGTTGGCATTCCAAGAATGGATCTGGACACGAAGAAAACCCGCAAAGCGCATAATCTTTAACATTACGTAAATGTTTTGTTTTTCCTTTTCTTGCATTATTCGCATTCACAATTCATATATTATGGATAGTAATTAATTTGTCAATATATGATAGTAATATATGGTGTTTTGATTATAAAAATGCTTGTTGCGCTTGTTTTTGAGAGAAACTGTTATACCATCATGGAGTCACTTTCGCTTTTTCTTTTTCTCGCTTTTTTTGAAGGTACGTTAACATCGATCTCTTATGACAAATTCGCCATTTGTAAAATTAATTTTTATTTGAGTAGTGCGGATTTCTGTTCTAGATGTACCAGTTATCGACATTCTTTATTTGCTTGCGTATCTACTTAACTCGACTATGCCTATGATTACTGGTATGTAGAATATCTAGATAACAATTACAGATCTAATTTTTTATTTGAAGTTTGGACACATTATTATTCAATTTACAAGAATTTTTTTCGGCTCACCTAATCCCAGTAATCGATAGATATGGCAATTACTCGAACGACTACGTGCTTCGAGAAACCAGTGCTTATGACGTAAAAAAAATCTACGAAATTTGTATGAAACAATAATTTGTGATGGTGTACGTAAAACTGCGATTTATAACTCGAAACTCAATGTACCTCATGCAAGTTGCCAATGCTCTAAAATTACACGAGATGTCAAACAGTGTCTTTTAACCTTACAATGAAGCATTTGATTGAAATCACGTATAGGCTCGGTTGCTGCACATATTCAATTTAATCAATAGTGAATTCATATATTTACGAGTTTCATAATGTAACACAACATTGTAAACACTTCCTTGGAACCAATAAAAATATTCGCAAGATCGACAGAAAGCACTGAAATACGTTTGTAATACGTGAACTTGGCGATTACTGGTACTCTGGTACGATTTTTGGGCCAACTATTTTATTTGATAACAAATTGTTCATTTCTTCGGCGTGAAATGTATTAATACATCTTCACTTGGTCGTAAAATGAGAGAGCCGCCGAACTTAATCGTGTCGACTGTTTTCACACTTTTCACTCTCCATTTCCTGAGGATAGCAGTCAACACGATTTTCTCTTCGAGTTGAGCGAATTTCTGACCTATACAGTTTCTTGGTCCAGCGCTGAACGGAACATAGGCGTACGGATTTCTGTTCTTCGAGTTCTCTGGAAGAAAGCGATCTGGGTCGAATTTCAATGGGTCCAGCCAAACTGCCGGATTTCGATGTGTTAATAAGATTGACAATGAGACCATGACACCTTTCGGAAGTATATAATTATCTATAAAATAAAAGAGAAATAATTTAACATAAACAGGGGACTTCAAAAATGTCATTTTAAAAATTGATTCTTTGACGACATTCTAAGATGAAAATATTAATATGAAAATCGAGGCTATAATAATTTTTAAATTAATAGCAATCAAAGTTTACTAATCACGGAGCTGATATTTGCGCGATCAGGCGTTAACGATATTGATGATATTGATAAGTAGTGAAGGTGCCTCTCAAAAACTTCAAGATTATACAAATATACAATAACATTTTTATTAAGATATTATTGTTGCTTCTATACGGAATCTGAGCATTACGTACACATAATTAATGTCGGAGCATATAACAAAATATCAATTTAATAGCGAAATATTACATGTTTCAAAATAAATTAATAATCCACCAGAATTTTAGTTGAAATAACCAATTCTCAATCTATCAAAATTCTGTTTGAAATAACCAGAATTTAACCTTCTATCAATCTAAGTTTAACTAGAAATCTAGTAAGCTTAATTAGAATTTTAGATCGTTCATTTTCCATCACAATTCCAGTTAATTCCAAATTTTTTTTTTGTAATAATAGTATATTTGATCACATTTACATAAATAATAATTTCCTTAAAAAAACTACAGAAATAAAAATTATATCACAGTCAAAGCCGGTCACACATGCTCAAAAATAAAACACGCAACACTCAGATTGCAGCAAGACGAAACACGCCCGCCAACGATCTCTCGAGACTGAGGAGGATGTCATTTCCTAACTATGTTAATAAATACCAGCGTATTATTTCGTGTTTGTTTCCATGTAATCTCCTCAAATATTAATAACATTAAACTAGCAGCAGAGGCATCAAATTAAGAATGGTTATAGTAGGAAGTATAAGTAACGCAATGTGTTATCAAGCGTGCGATTAGCTCAGCATAAATGTATTAGACTACCGTTCTAAGAATCGTAAGTTTAAATCTTACCGACAATGCGATGTGTTTTTTAATAATTAATTATAGTTAATAAGATAAAATATAGGTATGCAAAATAGTAAATAATGAATTAAAATGAAAAAATGCAAAGTAATAATAACAAAAAAATTATTTTTTTCGTTAAGCTATAATCGTATAAATTTTTTTATTACATATATATAAAAGGGATTATTTAGTCACAATTACCAAATTATTTTGTTTAGAACAATTAATAATTTAGTTATACTTGCCATATAATTTTGTAATAACTATCTAACTTTGCTACCAATTTCCAAATTTTAGTAGTAATAGATATGATTCTACATACTTTTAATTATGTTTGTTGTTATTACATTTTATAGTATAATTTACTATATGCAAATATGATTTATTGTATTAATATATTTATGTCACATTATCAACTTTTGGATATACTTGTACATTTAAAATGAATTTTTTCAGCTTTTAAGTTTTTTTTAGCTGTCAGTATGTGAAAATTTGATTCGTTTTCAAATCAAAAGGATTCGATTCGACTTGATTCAGTGTTAAGATTTCAGATTCGTTTTCGAATATGTCACAGATTCGATTCGATTCAATTCGATTTTGCAAATGCTTGATTCGCATACCTTTAATTTAATTACTTTATTATAAATAACTTTATTATAATTTACATATTGGTGCATTTTTTGAAATTCTTAAGTAAAAGATAAAGTTATAGCCTACCTATTTTCACATCTTCCGTTAGTTCCCTTGAGATTATAGGTACGCTCGGAAATATTCGGAGTGTCTCTTTTATGACTCTGTCGAGATACTTTAATTTCGACAGTTCCTTTCCACTGGCTGGTGTTTCTGAATCTCCGAAAACCTCCTCGAGTTCTTCGTGAACTTTTGCCTGATGCTCTAAATTATTGCCCAAAAGAAAGAGCGTCCAAGTTATCGCAACTGCAGTTGTATCATGCCCCTATTAACATTTTTATATTATTTTACATATTCTTTTTACAGATACATTATCTTGCTAATTTAAATAAATAAAGAGAAAATTTTATGTTACAAAAATTGTAAAATTTTAATTTTAATTTTAATTTCAGACATCTTACCTCAAACATGAACGTGTCAACTTGCGCTCTCAACTCATCATCGCTCAAAGGGGTGTCAGCTTTCGCATTCTGATCAAGTAATAGATCCAAGAACGCTTGTCTCTTACGCTTACCTAATATAATAAATTTTATTAAATAAGGAATATTTATGTAGTACCTATAATCTGTATAAAGTAAAATATATAATTCAAATTTACAATCGCACCTATGTTTAATTCATTGTCTTCATTTTCGAGTTCCGTATATCCGCTTTGTGATTGTCGTTCAATTTTTCTCTTACTTATCACCTATATAGAATTTATGATAAATATTAGATGTAAATGTGAACATTACTCAATCAAAATAATGTAAAAATTTTAGTAAAACTTTAACACTGTTTTAAGTCGCTAAATACAAAAAACATTTTTAGTATTTCTATAGTATACCTCTTTTGTAAATCCATGCAATATATCAAGCGCTGATTTAAACTGTTTCCCTGAAGGTAATGAGTAGAACAACCATTCAATCCAAAGCCACGGTCGAAGCATTCGTTTCATTATTAACGAAGAAGTTCTAAAAGTACGATTGCCATCTAACTATTACGTACTACATAATATGTAATTTTAATAATTAATTACATATTATGTAACTAATTATTAAAATTTACCATTAATTCTTAACACGTAAGTAATAATAATTTATTAGTTGTTTCATTAATAATACTGTTCGGCAAAACATTTTTTGCAACACGAATATCAATAACCATTTTTTATGTAATATAATATGATATAATATATTATAGGACCGGATATGTAATAACACAAACTGTAGAAATCAAAGCCTACAGTCTAGCTGAATCTTAAATGCTTGTATGATTCTTGTGTGAATTTACTACGTATGTAGTCCCCAGAAACACACGTCGAAATGATTTTTCAATCTAACTTTACTAAACTACCGCAGTAATATCACGAGTTAAATTGACTAGCAATTTAATAAATTTTTGATGCTTATTTGCATTTTTGAAACAATCTTAATAATATTGAATAACATATTAAAATCCGTAAATAATTAACTTTTATTGCGAAAAATATTTCCTCGGCCAGGAGTCGAGCCCGGATCTCTTGCATTCAGTGCGAGCGTCCTTTAGACTACCGAGGCTTTAGTAATATTCTTCACAATAATTCGCATATAAAGAAGCGACATCTCTTTAGGCGACGTAAATAAACAATATATTACAGGACCGTATATGTGACAACTATAGTATGTGTTATCACATATAAGGTTCTATAATATATTATATTGTTTATTTACGTCGCCTAAAGAGACGTTGTTTCCTTCATATGCCAATTATTGCGAAGAATATTAGCACATAAATTTACATAAGAATCATACAAGCATTTAAGATTCAGACCGTTTAAGACTTTGATTTCTATCATTTCTTATGTATTTTTGTTTTGTAAACGAAGCTGACTATCATATCACAATTTTGAAGCAAATTAAAGAAGCAAAAAATGACGATTGAGATTTTTGTGACATTGTAGCTCGAAGGGAATTTTAAAAAATTTTATTAATTAAACACAAAAATATCATTAAAAAAATTTCTAAATTTAAAATGCATGTTGTTTTAATATAATTTTTCATATATTTAAAATGTCGTTTTTATGTAACACATGAAAAAAAAGTTATTGCCAAATTGCTATATCCTGAAAACAAAAATATATCGAAACAAAACAAAATGTAAAACAAGTTTTAAAAATTCTTTCCGCATGGCATTAAAATTTAATTTATAAATTTTTTAATAATTAAAATATTTGTTATTTATAATTTTATGAAAACCCTTAAATTTATCATTTCAATGTCATTATTCTTGAAATTTAAACGCAATTTTAGCTAACAGATTTTTTCATGTTCAGCAAGCAAAAATATGAAAACCAATTATTCACACTCGTGTTGGAAAATGGTGTTGGATAGTATAATAGCAATATAAGAATTTAAAAAACTGACAGGTGTACTGTTGATGTATATTTGGTTGCAACTTCTTGAGCATGTACATCCACACCCATTGCTGTTTCTGTAAGATAACAATTAGTATTAATGATAAACCCTTTTGTCGTATTGCTTGTAATAACACAATTAAAATTACCCTTTATATAACGCTTTTTAGGTTTTTATAGCTATTATTTTTAAGAATACTAGAAAGTTTCCAAGTTATCGCTGTGTTTTTGTCCGTTCCTAATGCTAACGTATTGTGAACCTTGCCGTTCACTTTGTCAGGGCGAGGAGCGCACTGATACTGATACTAAATACAGTATCAATGCGATCCTCTAATAAAACACTTTAACATCTTTACCGTTTATATATATTTTTTTATTATCCATAAAATAATTGATAAAGTTTGCAGTATAAAATGACTATATCAAGAAACAAAACGTATTTTCTCACAAAATATTGTAATTATATACATTGTAATTATAAACATGATACATTACCGCAAATAATATCGAGAGCAGCATTGATAATATAAGGAAAAATATTAATGGCTTTTCCTGGATCCTTTTTTATTTCTTTTTGGAGACACTTTGTCAGAATCTCTGCTTTTTCAAACACAACCACAGCAAATTGATCTAATATACTAAAATGGAACGTCGGTCCAATGAGTTTTCTATCGTGGAACCATTGTTTACCTAAAGTAGCATTAAAATGTGATATATATATAAAAATAAAATTGTAAAAATATCGCAAAAGGTGAAGAGAGACTTTAACAAAAGAATACCTTTTAATTCACAAGGATATACTTTCATGTGAAAATTCCATTATTTCTATTGTGTAATTCATAAATTTCGAAATAATTTCGACGATAAAAAAAACTATATTTTGCTAAAAAGCAAGAATTAACAAAATAGAAAAGTCAATTATACGTAAAAATTTATATTTGATATATGTACGTTTTTGCTTACGAGTATATCGAAAATATAATAGTTTATATTGTTAGAGCTTATATAAATAATGAATTTTGCACTTATTAGTTACCATTCATTGTATATCTGTTATCAAGTAACAGATTTATATAGGTTTGGTTTTATTCTGAGATTTACACTTGGAAATGTTTCCTCGTCAATTAAAAAAAGATAGATATTTTTGTTATCGCTACTGTTTTTTATATTCTGTTTTTCTTAATGTTAATACTGGATATTAATAACTGGATGTAAACAAGATAAAAATTTCGCGAAACACTGCACAATTTTCTAGCACGTGAGCAACATAAATCAAATTAACTATACAGTCAAACTCTCTAAATTCTTTGAAGTGTAAATTGAATCGGTCTTGAAAATGAGTGACTCAATTTTCAATCTTTAAGAGTGAGATTTCGCTCTTTAAAGTGAGCTTTCATTCTAAAAGTTTTAGAAAGAATGTATATTTACCATAATGACTAAATTATATTCTTTCCTGTATTGAAGTACAAATACACATACGTTTACATTAGACAAAAACAGAGACCTCATTTTTTTCTTATTTAAATATTTTCACGAATGATTATACATTATAATAGCGTACATGATAAAAATGAGCCGAAGCTGGACATGCATTTGAAATATTTTTATTTAAAACGTATTATTTGCAACACAAATGTATTATATTTTGTTTTTCGTATTTCAACGGAGCACATGAAAGTATTACGTATTTCGTATTTAAAATTGAAAGAGAGAGAGAGAGAGAGAGATTGAACATTTTTTGGATAAATGTTTACTACTTTAAGGGAGACCTCTCTAATGACATGATTTTGACAGATGTTGTCTAGATCATGATTCTGAGTAATCTCCAATCGGTTTTAGCCGTCGCTCGTAATAAAAAATTATTAAGAAGAAAAGTTTGAAAAATGATTTTTTTTCACTATATAAAATAAAATTTTTCTACTTTACTTTTTAAAATATATTTTATGACTATTCATACAAAGCGACTCGCACCGCACCTTTCCTCAGTTAAGAGATGCACAACTTCCACGCAAAACGACTCCTACCCCATCTGCTCCTCCACTTCAGAAGCAGACGACTTCTACGTGAAGCAACTTAGTGAGATGGGATAAAACTCGCTTCGCACGAAAAGTCGTGTGCTTCTAAGCAAGGGGGGAGGTGGTATGAAAGTCACTTAGCATAAAAAGTCATTACGTAAACAAGAAAGAGATAGAATAGTCTCTAATGTTATATATAGCAGAAATAAGGCACTATTTTTTCCAATTTTTTTGTTAATAACTTTTTAACGGATAACGAGCGGTGGCAGTCTAATAAGTTTTAGCCGGCTAAAACTTGTTGGAGGTTACTCAGAATCATGACCTTGATAACATATGTTATTTTAAGAGCAAGGTCATCAAAGAGGTCTCCTCTAAAGTAAATATTTACTATTTTTTGTATACTACAATTCAAATAATAAGATTAATTGTCAATTTTAGTATTTGAAATACCAAATATAAAATATTTTTATATATTCCGTATAATACAAAATACAGAATATTTTCATGCATAGCGTTAAAACTACAAAATACAATTGTTTTATAAATACTTTTTTTAAAAATAAAAGTATTCCAAATACAGCCCTGAAATAAGCTGCTATTTATTTTTAATAAAATTCTAAATGTAAACAAAAAAAAAAAATGTGAGAAAAATAAATAAAAATAAATATGTGGTTTACCTGTAGATGTCAAAAGTCCGTTGCCCAACCAAGGTTTCAGCATATTATAGATATCTGATTTTGTGATATTTACGGTGCTAGGGAAAATATGCTATAAATGTTTGAAAAAATTATAATTCAATAATTATTCAAAGAAATAATATAAAAATTTTTTTATTTATAATGTACACTCATCCGCAAAAAAAACGGACCATTAAATTTTAGCACAAATTTTTATATATTTTAATATATAATATATTTTATAGAGTAGCGATATTTCAATAAAAAATCATCATAGTCAGATGAGTATGTGAACCAAAGCTCAAATTAAATTTTAAACATTCTTCTTGACAACCATGCAGATAAAATTTAAATTACACAAAGTGTATTACAAAATTACGAACATTGAAAACGGACATTAAAAAATCGGGAAAAAAAATTTCTTATTCAAACTATATATATATATATATTGTATATTTCCCTAAGCAATATATATATATATATATTGCTTAGGGAAATTGGCTGCCAGACACAAAAGTATATGAGTCTTTAAGATCATTAATTTTCAAATTCATATTTGGAATATTTTTCTACGATTTTTTAAACAAAGTTATAGAAAATTGTTACATTTTAAAGAGATGTTGTAAAACGGATAGCTTTTTCTTGTAAACTCAGTATAACTCAGAAAAAATTGTTGTAGGAAATTTTTTTTAAAAAGAAATCAAAGTATGAATTTCAAATCTAAATTTTTTTTTAATTTCGTGTAAGTATGTACATACATATGCATGCGTATATCCTGCTTTTAGCGTTACAAATGATCAATGATATGCACGTGGAAGATATTTGATCCCGCGTGCGTGCGCGCGTGCGTGCGTTAGCTGTTTAATTTAAGCTTTGGTACATTTCACTATAATTTTTTTCCGATATCGCTATTCAAAACATATTAAAAATTTGTGCTAAAATTTAGTAGCTTATTTTTTTGCAGATAAATGTACAGCAAATTTTGAGTGCTACAAAAAATTTCGTCAATTATAAATCAAAAGGATTTACTGATTATTAACCTTAATAAGTCATTCATGGGTTCAATGTACTCTATGCGATTTTTCATATTCATTGCTGTAACTTTTTTATAATATAATTTTAAGACCTCGATTGTGGCTGAAAAAACTAACTGTTCATAGATACAATGAACCTGCAAAGATATTTTTTGTGCGTTATTCTCGATGAGAATGTATAAAAGTTCAAAGAGGGTACTTAGGATCCATACATGACTAACCTGTAAGTTTTTGGAGTACCACTTTTCTGGGTATCTTTTTATTTTTTATTAAATATATGTTTATATTGAGTATCGGATAGTATAAAAGTAAGTATATGAAAATGTAGAACTAAAAAGAATTATATTTTAATATAATTAATA